GAGGATGGATGAGACAGCCTAGGGAGAGGAGCTGGAGTTTTAGGGGCCCAGTCTCCCCCATCTCAAGGGGGCCTGAGGCATCCTAGCCCAGTTCCTGTAACCAGATTACATCTGTGCTGCGCTGTGCTGGAGGAGCAATAAACCACCCTCAATTCCACTGGCTGGTGCAGTCTGTTTGTGCCATTTCGGGGTGCAGGAGACGGGGAACCCCAACGTGCCGTCACACCATCTAGGACAGCATCTTGTCTGCTCATAGTGGCTTGCCCCCAGGGAGTGAACAGAACAGGGAATCATCAAGTGATCCCTCTCCTGTCATCCATTGCCAGCATTCAACAAACAGAAGCTAAGGACACCATTCCTACTCATCCTGGCTAATAGCCATTGATGGACCTAACCTCCATTACTTTATCTAGCTCTTTTTTTAACCCTGTTAAAGTCCTACTGGTCTTCACAGTGTCCTCTAGGAAGGGGTTCCACAGGTTGACTGTGAGCTGCATGAAAAAAAAACTTCCTTTGGTTTGTTTTAAAGCTGCTACCCATAAACTTGATTTCATTCTTATGTGTTGGGAACAAGAACATAATTTTTCCTTATTCACTTTTTCCACACCAGTCATGATTTTATAGACCTCTATCCTATCCCCCCTTAGTCTCCTCTTTTCTCAGATGAAACATCCCAGTCTTTTTCATCTCTCTGCACCTGGCAGCCATTCCAAACCCTTCATCCAACCCCTCATCCTTTCTGAACCTTTTCCAGTGCCAAGAGATCTTTTTTTAGATGAGGCAACCACATTTGTATGCATTATTCAAGATGTGAGCATATCATGGATTAATAGAGAGGCAATAAGATGTTCCCTGTCGTATTCTCCATCCCTTTTTTCCATGATTCCTAACATGTGATTTGCTTTTTTTGACTGCCACTGCACATCGAGTGAATCTTTTCAGAGAACTATCCACAATGACTCAAAGATCTCTCTCCTAGGCTTCTCTTAGCTTGCCCAGAACCCCTCCAAGCTTACCCAGTTACACGGAGAGGCCTTTTCTGAATGGCCCAACTTCTGATGGGTTTCATCCCCTTTCTGGGATGTCGCCTGATGTGCTGGGATTTCACTCAGCCTACCTGCTCCTCTAGCCTGGATTGCCTCTACTTGTTTTGCTGACGTCTGGGAGCATACACAAGCAAGGATGCACTAGGGGATAGAAACATAGGGTCTGCAAACCGCTCTCTAGCGTAAGGCCGAGCTAGGAAATTGCCCGGCACTCAAGTGCAGTTTTCCTCTGGAAAGTACACCCAATATAATATCACTGGACAGAAATCACTACAAGGCAAGCTCATACATATGCCCACCCCCTCAAAGAGGAGGAACAGATGCGCAACTTCTTGCTCTCCCCTCCCACTGTTAGAAAGTACACAAGCTGGGTTTAATAAACAGCCAGCTCTCAACTGTAAAAGGGGGATTTTACTAAACATATGTAACCCCTTTTTCCTCCCTGGGTTACTTGGGCGCAGGCCATGCTCACCTGCTTGCCTCGGTGCCTGATGGTTTGAACATTAAAGGAGCACCTGAGTATCCCAGGGGCCCCCCCCCCCCCCCTTCTAAAGGACTATACAATGGAGGTGCCTCCACCTGGCTAGGCCTGTATGCACTTGATGGTGTGCCTTGGGAATAAACCTACTCCTGTAATAATCTGGATTCAACTCCAAAACTACAATTATAAACAACACACATGACATTGATTCAATTAGAATTAACACCTTTACTTAACAACTTAAAGGAACAGGGTCTTACATGCTAAAAGTGAATAAAAACAATTACAAAGTACACAGAAATAAAGGAAAAACTTAAAAAACAACAAATAGTCTAGTAGCACCTTAAAGACTAAATAGTTACAAAAGGCTGATAAGAACCATTAGTTTGCATTTGGATAGGAAGATGACCAACACCAAATACTACACAAACATTAAGAACCACTAGCACCTTCATTGTTTGTTTGGTTGGTAAAGTCATTAAGATGTGGAAGATAATGTGTGAGCCATCCCATATCCTGGTTCATACCATTTGCATAAGAATTCAATTTGTGAATGAAGTTAAGTTCCAACCCTTCTCTGTGTATGTTGCTTGTGTAAGTGGTCTGAAACAAAATGGTTACTTGGTGATCCATTAATGAGTGTCCAGGAACATTAAAATGTTCTCCAACAGGTTTTTGTATATTGCCTTTTCGGATATCTGATTTGTGTCCATTAATTCTTTCCCACAGAGACTGTCCAGTTTGGCCAATATACATTGTAGTGGGGCATTGCTGGCATAGATCACATTAGTGGATGTGTGCAGTTAAATGAGCCTCTGATCTGTGGCTAATGTGGTTGTGGAGCCAGGGGTATTTGGCACTGGCAGAGCAGGAGGGCTGGGTGTGAGAAGCCGGGGGTGTTTCGCACTAACACGGCAGGAGGCGCTGGGTGTGAGGAGCCAGGGCATGCTTGGCACTGGCAGTACAGAGGCGCTGGGTGTGAGAAGACATGGCTGTGCCCCTAACTTGAAGATACAAATTGTCTCCAAATCAGAAGTAGTTGTGGGTGAGGATAATGTCGCAGAGCTCTGTAATCAGGTGTGCAATGCTGTCATCATGGATGGTGTTCCTGATAGCTTGTAATCTGTCTTCATGTGGAATGTTGGTGTAAAGAGCTTCTACGTCCATGGTGGCCAAGACGGTATTTTCAGGTAGATTACTAATGTTTTGTATTTTCCTCAGGAAGTCGGTGGCGTCGCAAAGGTAGATAGGAGTGCTGGTAGCATAGGCCTGAGGAGAGAGTCAGTATAGCCAGATAATCCTGTTGTAAGTGTGCCAATGCTTAAGATGATGGGTTGTCGGGACTTCCAGGTTTGTGTATCTTAGGTAGCAGATAGAAAACTCCTGGTCAGGGATTAGGGGCGGTGTTAGTGTAAATTTGGTCCTGAGCAGCATCAGGCAGCTTCATGAGCAGTTGTTTCAGGTTTTTTTGGTATTCTTTAGTGGGCTCACAGGAGAGAGGCTTGTAGAATCTGGCATTGATGAGTTGTCTGGTCACTTTCTGTTCATGATTACTACAGCGTCCCTTTGTCAGCCTCTTGGATTATGATGTTAGAATTGTTTTGTAGGCTGTGGATTACGTTGTGTTCTGCATGACTGAGGTTATGTGACCAGTTATGATGGAAACTTCAAAGAAATGTGTGAAAAGATGCAGCAGAAGTCCCATTAAATAAAGTCTGTGAGTACAATGTTTCATTAATGCTATTATTAATCATTTTGTCAATTATCTATTATATTAAGTTGTATGTTTTCAGCTTAAAGCGCCACTGAGCCCACAACCATATCTGCTCATTAAAAAGATTCTCCATTACAAGCTTAATTTGGATTTGGAGAAGCTTAATACACAAGCTTCTTTGGTATTTCCCATGTAAATTCTTCTCTTCCAAAGTGCCCATAACATGCAGTCTGTTGATATATTGGTCTCTTCAAATCCAGTGCCCTGCATAAAAAGAAACAGAAGTATTTAAGTTTATCACTACAAGAGACAATGTGGGTATTTTAGTGCATCAGGATAGTCTGATGCCCTCCTCATACAAACAAGGGGAATTTTCACAGACAGTGGAAACTCTTCCCCCCATGAATTTGCCAAGAGAACAGCAGCAACAGAACAGATTCAGGGTCCATTTATAGCACCTAGAACCAACAGCAGAGTGCCTGGAAGTCTAACTATCAGAGACAATATCAGTATGCCGTTAGTAGCAGAAACATGCATAAATACCTGATGTCAGCTAAGAATGTATCCTCTACCAGAAGGATGTTATTTGGATCATCTAACTCAGCCATAATGCACACAAAATGCACTTATAGACTTGAAATGTCTTTCTCCTATGCCCATGCAAAGATGTAGCAGGATGACTTGTTCATTTTCAATGTAATATAGAGCAGGGGTTTTCAAACTTTGGGTTGTAGTTTGTAAGCGTTAGCTGCTGGCTGGCCACGAGACACTTTGTTTACCTGAGTGTCTGCAGGTACAGCAGCTCCCAGCGGCTGTAGTTTGCCATTCCTGGCCAGTGGGAGCTGCACAAAGTGGTCCAGCCCGCACTGCTTCCCACAGCTCCCACTGGCCAGGAGGGGTGTACCCAGGAGATGTGTACCGCTGCCACTGGGAATAGCGAGCAGCCATGCCTTATGCGGCCTGCAGACTGCTGGTTAAGAATCGCTGCTATAGGGTAATAATGTAAAAAACTACAATGTTTCTCATACTGGGTTCCTGACACAAAAAGCGACTGCAAGCCTATTGACACTCTTGCTTCTGCGCTACCTTCAGAGCTGAGTGGCCAGAGAGCAGCGGCTACTCGCCAGGTGCTCAACTCTGAAAGCAGTGCTGCCATCAGCAAGAGCACAGAAGGCTGGCACAGTATGAACAGTTTGATTTCTCTGGGATTTAAGTAAATCCTAAATTATAATCACATGTAAACTGTGGGGCTACAAATTGTACCAGAACCTAACTACATTATTGCCTTCTTACACATTTGGTAAAAAAAAAAAAAAGTACACGGGCAGAATGTTTTAAACCATTCTACAGGGAGGATCCAACTTGAGGACTGGTTTTATGCCTTCGAGTACAGCAGATTTTGTAGAAGGAGGACACAAAGACGGCACTAGTAACTGGTATTGTAATGAAAATAAATTGTTAGCCGGGATTTTAGGAACCAAACACTTGAATTTGAAATTGTTGAACTCTCTATGACACTAGTGTGAAGAGTCAGTGTGTGTAAGTTCTCCAGTGGGAAACAAACCTTATAATGGCTCCAAGGCGTAGATCAAAGTTTTTCTGCACAATTTCAAGCAGCTCCTCTTCTGGTCTATCTGAAGTGCCATAGTGGAACACTGAAATGGCTAGAGGATGGCTCAGACCAATTGCGTAAGACAGCTGTAGGAGACACATATCAAACCAAGTCAGAAACTGAAGTTCAACTTAGCACCCTTATTTTTCACAAAAATAGAGACCTGCCTAGTTTTAGATTTCCCTGCAGAACAGATAAGCTATTTCCTTTGGGACCAGTTTTTAATATTCCATTACAGCATGTTCCTGCTGTGTTGTGGTCTGGTACCTTCTGCCAAACAAAGCATCTGTTATTGTGCCGCTGTTGTTGGGGTCCAAAGGAACTCCCATCATACAATGGAAATACACCATCCACAGGAATGAGGAGCTAGAAGAGCTCTGCCATAGAGGAAATGGGTGCACCTTTCCGCTTAGTTATGATGCATAAATAAATCTGGGAAGAGCTGTTGTTTTTTTTAGGAACATAAGATCCGCCATTCTGGGTCAGACCAATTGTCCATCCAGCCCAGTAGCCTGTCTTCCACTAGTGACCAGAGGGAAATGAACAGAACAGGTCATCATCAAGTGATCCTATCCCCTGTCGTACATTCTCAGCTTCCTATTCCCAGTCCCCGGTTGCCTTCCAGACAAACAGAGGCTAGGGACACCAGCCCTGCCTGTCCTGGATAATAGCCATTGATGGACCTAACCTCCATGAATTTATCTAGGGTTTTTTTTTTAGAACCCTGTTATAGTTTGTTTACATTAGAAGTTTAACTCACCTATCCTGTTTGATTGGAAAACTATGCGTGGGAAGGTAAATATTTGACAGAAGTGCTTTCTGCTCAGCCTATCAGAAGTCGTCTGTCTGGCTGATTTAATTCAAACACTCCCAAGGACACGTCTTTTGCTCAAGAGTTAACACCTCCTTCCCCTGTGCAGTTAAGGGCCGACAGAGCTCAAAAAATCAGCTCTCTGGGTCCCAAGAGAAAAAAAGCCAATAAAGCAAGAAAAACTGACTTAACATTCCTGATATTTCATAAGTAAACAAGCAGTTGCAAGAGGGAATTTTGACTTGGGCAATTCCTCACTTCTGAGGCTTTCTCCTCCCCTTATGACGTTGTTTGATTGAAACTTGTAAAAATATTAGATCCTTGTGCCTATAGAACTGCACCTTTGTGTATTCCTGTATGTGGAACCTCTGTCTAGCGCGAGCCTTCTGTTGTGGTATGTGTCTGCAGTGCACCTGCAGCAGCTATTGTGTGCCTGGAATTCTGGGAGAGTTGTTACAGCTAGAGCAATAGTTAAACATTCTTTGTCTCTGTAAACTGGTTTTCCACAAAAGTTGGTTAGTGTGGAAATAATTTCCAGAGCAGCAGCAGTTTGCAGGGGGACTCCTCAGCAGAGGATGGCTGCATCTTGCTACAAATACTGGAGAGCCCCAGGACAGTGGTAACACTCACTTCAGTATTGATTGATACGTTTCCTTCCTCTGATTGACTGTTTGCATCATCTATCCCCTACTTCACAAGACCTTAGTTGCCAGTTGTACTTCTGTGCTCTTCTCCATCAGTCTCTCCTCATCCTCATCACTAGCCTCTGCTCTTCATATATGCGGTCTTCCTAGTTTCCTATGTACTAATCCCTTCTGGCTTCTCCTCCTGACTCTACACCTGCCTCAATGAGGATGGCCTTTTCTACACTCCCAATGAAATCACAAATGTTAGGTCAATGCTGCGTGTTTTGAAAACCCCACTTAAAATGTGCAGAGTTTTAACCAATTATACTGGTGCCCCTAGAAATCATGGAACAAGACACTAGCCAACCATCACTCTTTGAGGCATTCTTTCTCCTTTCTCCACCCTTTACCAGGCTTGTCTATGTCGATTTTAAGCTGTGCAGGACAGTGACTGTCACGCTGGTACAATGCCTGCACAGTATGTTCCTAATGGGGACCTCTAGATACTGCATCATTAGCCATTATCAGGTCATTGCAGGAACCAAGGGTGGAACCATAGCTTCTGTGTTTAACTGTGGAGCAGCTCTGCCCTCTAATGTAGATAAGGACGTAGTGTGCTGAATGAAAGCAGATACACAGCAGCCACCCAGAACAATTAGAATATTTGCTGGTATTGCATGCTACCCAGACAATCATCCCCTTTTGTTTGGGGTTAGCTTTGGGCCCAGCCAGGGCCCTATATGGTAATATCTGTATAAATCAGGCAACTCAACTGCGCGGTACCCTAACATTAAAAATCTCAAAGATTCAGGCATAAGGAAAGAGAACTGAATGTATTGAATGGTATAAGAATGAGGGATGGCAAGTATTAAGGGTAGGTGCAGGAAATGAGACCAAGTTCTTGCTTCTGAGTGTATATATTTTTCTCTGTATTCATTCAACTCATTGTGATGATTTTGTCCCCTTAATACAAGAATGCAGTGTAACTACTGCAATAGTGTTCTACTGTACAAAAAGTACTGATTGTAAATCAAGCAGTTACAAGTAAGGAAATGCCCATGCAACCTTAATTTGGCCCTCTAGGCACATGCACTGTGATAATCTTTAATTACATGATCACTTACTATTTTTCCCCAGTGCCCCTAGGGAGCACTCCTTTGTCCTCATCTATCTGTGCATGGCCCCTGGTATTATTGATTGCTAAAGGGAAGATTTTATCTCAGTTATTTTAGTAAAAGTCAGGGTCAGGTTAAAGGCAACAAACACAAATTCACAGAAGCCTGTGACCCAGTCCCTGATGTCTGAAAATAACAATGACAAAAATGGAGCTGCCACAGTGGGAAGGAGAGCAGAGGTGGTATGAGAGCCCAGATTCACTGTGAAGCAGGGGGAGGGCAGCACCTGCGACCCACAGCAGCTGGGAGCTCTGGAATTCCTGGGCCACCCATGGGCAGCTGAGTTCCAGAGCCCCTGCCAGCAGAGAACTCCTACCTGCCACCCCAAGGCTGGAAAACATCACAGAGGTCTCTGAAAGCCACAAAATCTCTGACTCCTATGATCTCCATGACAGAATCTTACCCTAAGTCATCGCTTACCAGCCCAAGCCTGCACTGGGTACACACTCATACACACTGTGGTATCTGAGAGCTTCACCAACACAGATACCTGTGTCCTCACAGAACCCCATTGAGCACGTGCAAACTGCGATTTCACAGTAACTTTTAACTTGTCCAAACTTAGGTTTTCACAGGGGCCGCGGGAAGCATGCTGATTCCAGGCTGGCCACCACCCAATTTCACGTCCTTCTTCCAAATCACTGAGGTGCCAGAGTGGCTCATTAAAGAGAAGCTTTTAAAACGAGTGCAAAAGAATTCTTCACCATTCTTGGCAGGAACGGAGCCCTTTTTTCTGAAACTCGTTAAAAAATTTCAGTCGGAAACCTACAGTTAGCATGAAAAACTTCAATCCAAAGGCAAAATTGGGCAAAAGTATAAGCAACTGAAAACAAGGTTTCATAATTCAAAGTGTTAGGAAGCCTTAAGTACAGAGACTGCTATGAGAACTCCCTCTGAGGTGCCTACCAGGGTATGTTGCTCTTGCTTTTGTCCATCTTACCTGGATCAGTACTCTTCTACAGAGACCTGCTTTCACTAGAGATTTTGCAACCCAGCGAGCGGCGTATGCTGCAGAGCGATCAGCTTTGGAAGGGTCTTTCCCAGAGAAGGCCCCTCCTCCGTGAGCTCCCCAGCCTCCGTAAGTATCAACAATGATCTTTCGGCCAGTCAGTCCAGCATCGCTCTATAAGGCAAAGAATTACACGTTGACTTGACAAACCAAGGCTCTCGGTATAAATTAATTCCAACACCACTCTGGATTCACTGCTTGTTTCTTTATCAGAATCAAAAGTGGTGTGATCAATGGGTTGCTGCATGTCTCCTTGTAGGCAGTTATTTGATCTTGTCTGCGTGGATAAAATGGAATTTTACGTAGGCGGAACCACAGTTTGTATTGTGATAATTTTATGCTAGCTTCCTCACATCCTCCTGATAACTGCATATAAACAGACGTGACCAAGTCTCCTTTAAAAAACTTGAGACTTCTGTTATTTCACCAAATCTGCACACCTAATTGTTTTGAAAGGACATTGCATAATCTCCATCTATTTACATTATAAATCTTTCAAAGTATCTTACCTTAGGACCCCCTTCTATAAATACTTCACTTGGAAGGAGATGGTAGATTGTGTTCTCATCTAGATATTTTGCTGGAATAACTTCTTTGACAACTTTTTCCATTAGTTCTTTCCGCATCTGTTGTAGAGGCATAGCAGGTGCATGATGTACTGAGATCACTAATGTGTGCACACGGAACGGCTCCACTGCACCCTTGTTTTCCTTGTATTCCATTGTGACCTGAAAAGCAACCGTGGACATTCAAATCCAATACTCCCTGACGAGAAGGGGCACCAAACCCAAATGTACAATTAAAGCAATTTCTTATTCCCTCTAACAACAAAAGCAATAGAATTTGGTGAAAAATGATTAGAAAATAGGACTGGACGCTAGATTATTATTGGTGATGCTGAGAAATGATTGACGGAAATACTGACCTCAAAGAGACCAAAAATAACCACTGTCTAATTAAAATCTAAAGGGATCACCAAATAAGCTTATGGCCATCTCTAGTTGGATACATAGAAACAATGTATTTCTAAAGAAAAACAGGACCTTGAAATCCTGACCAACAAGCATTAAGGTCAGTCAGAGATGGAACATATTAAAGTGCAAAGGGAAAGGAATGAAAACACTGAAATTGCAGCTGTGGTTAAAGTACTCTTTTTGGAAGAAGTTAATTCTAAAAACATTGAACTATAGGAGGTGCTGTAGATAAGCACTTCACACTGAAGTCTAACAATGTTGCAGATGCTTAATACCTCTGGGAATCTGGCCTACATCTCTGCTTTGCCTTACTTCCACTGCCTCTTCTTAGACCACATCTATACTTGCAGACTGATCTTCTAGCATTCGATGGAGCAGGTCTGGTAAAGATACGCTAAATCGAACACTGAGGGCAACCCCTGGTTGGCACCAGTATTCCTCACAGTCGTGAAGAGTAAGGGAAGTTGATAGAGTGTTTACTCCCATCGACCTCCCACTGTGAAGATGTTGCCCTATATCTATATCTATATCTATATCTATATCTATATCTATATCTATATCTATATCTATATCTATATCTATATCTATATCTATATCTATATCTATATCTATATCTATATCTATATCTATATCTATATCTATATCTATATCTATATCTATATCTATATCTATATCTATATCTATATCTATATCTATATCTATATCTATATCTATATCTATATCTATATCTATATCTATATCTATATCTATATCTATATCTATATCTATATCTATATCTATATCTATATCTATATCTATATCTATATCTGAGTGCCTACATGCCAACACTTTTTCATAACAAGAAAGAAACCTCCCAAAACTCATTTTGGATTGCTTCAAGTGCTAAAAAGGTCATCTATCCATATGATTTTCTTAGCACTTGAAAAAGATACTTTGCCAGAGATAACACAAAGTGCAGCAGCACAATCCAATTTAAGTCACCACTACGGAACCACTGAAATTAAACACAAACGACACTCTTCAACAATTCCCCAAACTTTCAGTCCCCCCCCACATTTTCTCCTCTACCTTGTGAGAATAAATGTACATTAACTGCCTTACGAAGGAGAAATTGTAACTCTTAACCACTTAGCTAGCAAACCCACTTCTGACAATACTGGAAGGCTAAGGGGATAATTAACCAGCTATGCAGTATGTTACTTCTAGGTCACTGCTTCAAATGTAGCCTGTAGCAACACCCACTAAAAGATTTGGGGACCTGTGAGATGTGGGTGAATTGTCCCAGTCCAGTTGCCTCACAAAATGTGCCCTTACATCAAAAAGCACTGCTCTAGCTGGTACTGATTATGTTAGTGTCCAGGGAGACAGATACATTCCTCTCACTGCTTGTGTTGGTTCCAAGAGTCATGACTGAGACACTGGCAGGACAATATGGACCAAGTCATACGTGGAGTGGATCTGAAAATGTCATCTCCTGGCTAGTCTAACGTACTCCATTCAAGCACACAGAATTTGCACCACTGCCACGCCAATGACTCCTTCATTTATTGAAGAACATGAGTTGGGTCTAAAATCAATTGTGCAAGCTTAATGGCACAGCCCTTTTTATATCGGATTCATAATCCATTTGCATTACTAACCTGTGTTTTCCCATCTGGTCTAACCCAGGGGCATGTTCCATTCCTCTCCAGGGCTTTTATCTTTGCATTAAGTTTGTGTGCAAGTAGGAGTGTTAGCGGCATGCATTCCTCAGTTTCATCAGTGGCATAACCAAACATCAAACCCTGCATGGAGGCAGCAGAAAATAAAGCATCATTCTAAGGCACTTATTTGCATCTTCTGAGCAAGGGAAGTGGCATCTGTGCCATGAAGTCTGGGCGTAAGGTGTCACGTGCTTATTTATGCATATAGTACTCTTAAAATCAGACAGCTGTCCAGGGTAATCCCTTCTTCCAAGAATCTCAGCCCAACAGCATTGACTGGTTTCCAAGAAATAACTCCACCTTAAGAACCCAGTTTATGCAGAGACCAAGCACAGCCCTCCTACCCAACATCCACACAATATCCATAATCCAAAATGCCACACATTTGCTCACACCAAGAACTTGAAAGACTAACACTGTCACTTGGTGACACCTACCACAACAAAAAGTTTAAATTTGTAGCTTTAACCTTCAGAGCCGTTAGATATGCCAAGCAGCACTTGTTGAAACCAATGCATGCCAGGTTTTCTTGGCCTTGTTATTAATCGTATGTAATATATTTAGTTCAAACTCACATGCTTTAATAGTCTCTGATGTATAGTGGATAGTCTTTTTTTTAAGTCAATGCTAATTAACTGATTTTGCAATGTTTATTTTAAGTATTTAGAACCCAGACCAATACAAGCACATTACCTGGTCCCCAGCTCCGATGTCATCTTCACTCTTGCCATGGGAGACAGCATGTTTGATTTCTTTACACTGTTGTTCTAGAGCTACCAGCACGGTACATGTCTTATAATCTAATCCTGGGGAAAGCAGGGGAAGAGCATGATTCCACAGTATTCTGCTGTTGTTGGATTTCAGAAACAAGTCATCTATAAAAGCTTCATTTCACAGAGAGTTCAAAAAAAGTTGGCTGAAGATTTGAGGTATTTGAGTTACAAACTGTAGGCTAACCTTATGCCAACGGTTTGGCTTTGTCTCCCTCCAGTGTCTAGAAAATGGATAAATATTTGCACACTACAGTTCCCAATCTGTTCTGGTCTTTTAGGGTAATTGGTAGAAGCTCATGCTTTTCATGAGGTGTCCAATTCTATCTGATAGGTCATGCAACCAGAGACATTGTCCGTATTCTGGTACTGGTGGACAAATACCAATGCCTAAAATCATGTAAGTAGGAAAGTTTGAAGAGTGTATGAAAGGGAGCAGGGCTTTTATTCACCATCTCTTGTAAAGGGCATTTGATAGAACTAGACAGAAATATATTTGAGGCAAATAAAGGCAAATGCTGCCATATAATAGTCACACATGGGATTAAATGCTGCAGTAGCCCACTGTAGCAACTACATTAGTAGGAATACTGACGAATTTCCTTGTGTTTGAACTTTAAGTCTCAATGTTTACTCTAACCCAAATACAAGATCAGTCTTCCTATTTTTATAAGAAGCAATTTGCTTGCAGACAAATACATGCCAAACTATCCTGTCATTTGCGCATGCTCCAATTCCACTCCATGAGCGGGAATGGAGAGTGTTCAACATTCTAAGGCCATGTCTTCACTTTGCCACGATCAATCTTCCAGAGTTTGAGTTAGTGAGCCTAGTTGAGAGTACCCCACTGGCGTCCCCCATCAGCTTCCCACTGTGGGGACGCCACCAAGCTCTACATAGCTGGAGTTGCATACTGTAAGCCGAGCTGCCAGGTCTAGTGTAAACCTCGCCTAACAATATCTTGGTGATGTCAACTCCAGGCCACAGCCATATTTATATTACCTTTTTGCCTCCTGCAGGATCAGATACCCCAATGATGTTATTTCACCGAAGACCATTACAGAGGAATTTGAGTGCATGTGCAGAACTGATGATGAGTCGAGAAGCCAGTACATAACTTACCTTTTGAAGAGTCATCATAGCCTATTCTCTTAATGGTCTCTCGCACAATTTGCTGGTAATCCACTACAGCTTTGGAAGTGATCTCTCCACACAGCAAGATCATCCCAGTTTTGGCCACACATTCTATAACACATTGAAGAAACATTACAGTTAAGTCTAGCTGTGGTTTTTCCAAAAGTGTTGCCAGGTGTCCGGTATTGGCCTGAACAGTCTGGTATCTGAGGCCTCTGTCCGGTAAAAAAAAAAAAAAAGCAGAAAATACCGGACGTGTAAAATGTCCGGTATGTTCTGTTTGTCTTGGACGGAAGGCCACTTGGGACATTCCTCCCCTGTCGTGTCTGGTGGAGACAGGGAGAGCAAGGACTGTGTAGCGCTGAGATTTAAAGGTGCAGTGACTCTTATTTTGTGAGGGTTTTTTTTTCTCAACAACTTTGGTTCCCCGTTCGTTTGCTTTTATTGCTTTGCTCAACAAGTTTGGTCCTCTCCATGTTCAGTATTTTTTGGGAAAGTATCTGGCAACCCTATTTTTCAAGAACAATTGGGTTCTAGAATAAGATTGTAAAATCCCAGTTAATCTGTTAACTGGATAAACCTTAGGTTTAATCAGTAAACCAATTAAGCAGAACCCATGAGGGGAAAGGGAAGCTGGCAGACCCATGCGCATGGGGGCTAGCTTTTTGCTCCCAGATCCTCCCCCCCCTTGGGGCTTCTGCTCCTTCTCTCCCTCCCTGTGCTTATGGCTGCCACTGCTGGCCTCCCCCAACTCCTGCAGGGCTGGAGCAGCCCTCTGCCTGCTCCTGGGTACGGGTTAACCAGTTAAGAATGATGCTTACCGGGTAACTGGTTACCTGTTCACATCCCCATTTCAGAAGCAACGGTGGAATACAGTTTGAGACTGACTGGACAGAACACACTGTGGAATTGCTTCAGTAAAAAAGTCTTAAGCTTGGACTAATTTTTAAACCTGTCTTGATATCAATCGCAGATTTTTGTGCTTTGCGACAGTGTGGGACAGATCCTCTCATCTGCTCTAGTTGCTTCATCCTGTTCTGGCCACCTGGGATTCCCTTAGTGAAACTGAATCACCTAGTGGAGCAAACCCAGCTCCTCCTGGCCCAGACATAGCGACAGCTCTCAGTGAAGAGCGAGCATCACCAGAACAGCTCTGTGCTCCATCAAGTGCCAGCTCCCCCCGGAGGCAATGTGTAGCACTTTGCAGCGTGGCCCTGTAGTCGTGATTGTCCCCGTCCGGTTGCCTGTTGTACTCATTTGATGCCTCTTAGCTTGTTTTAGACCAGTGGTCTCCAATCTTTTTACCCCCAAGATCACTTTTTAAATCTCCGAACAGGTGAAGATCTACCACCCCGCCCTTCCTTGAAGCCCCGCCCTCTCTATTCTCCTCCTGTCCATCACTTGCTGTCCCCAGCCCTTACTTACACACTCTGATAAACAGTTTATTTTTAAATTATGCGATACATACAATTAAAATCACGTGTTTATAGTTATGAAATAAATGGTCTGTTTTTTATTCATGCTATTTAAATCTAAAATGAAGCATTTATAATTATACATTTTGTGGGGACAGAGTTCTGTGGCGGGGGGCAGGGAAGAGGGAACAGGGTGCTGGGAGGGCAGAGGACAGGTTCTGCAGCAGGGGACAGAGTGCCAGTGGGGACAGGTTTCTGCAGCTGGGGACAGGGTGCCAGTGGGGACAGGAATAGGGACAGAGTTCTGTAGCTAGGAACAGGGGAGTGGGAACAGAGTTCTGTGGCTGGGGAGTGGGGTGCCAGTGGAGGCAGAGAGTCCCCTGTATCTGCCTCCTCCCAGGATTCCCCCCCCCTCCCCCTAGGGAACCCAGCGCATGCCTGCCCCGGGGCCAACCCCGTGCAGGAAAGCCCCGGCGCCGACCCCCCGGCACAGGAAAACCCCGCGTGCGCCTCCCCCAGGGCTGACTCACCCCGCCTATGAAGTGCAGGGAGCCGATGCTCCCTCCCGCAGTACACCCGGCAGAGCAGCTAGCGCTACTTCCAGAATCGCCGGAAGTGGCGCTAAGCTGTGGGACTTCTGTCCATCCCCGGGAAGCCGACACTACCTCCATTTTCACTTGAGGTAGGTAGTGGGGCTTCTCGGGGATGGGAGGGAAATGAGGGTTGGGGCAGACAGGACGCCTCGCGATCGACTGGTCGAGGCCTCGACCAGTTGGTGACCACGGTTTTAGACTATCAACTTTGGGGCAGCAATAGGTTTAGATACAGATTTCAAATGGTATTTAGGCATTGCTCTAAACTCAATTTACCTTAGGGCCAATGCCAGTCCTCAAATTCTCCTAGTGGGCCAATGGCACCCCTCTCTGGCAGATCACTGGGGGAGGGGTTTCTCTGCACGTTTTCCCCTGTGTATTCCCTGGCCCCTCCTGCTGGCCCACATGGTCCCCACACACATCGCTCCAGTCCTAACTGCTGCCCACAGGTGATTTAAAACCCGCTCCTCCACCACCTGCAGTGCCTCCCTGCCACTAGCTCCATCCCACTTCTGGCACGTTCCTGTGGACTGGGAAGGTATGTGCAGAGCCGTCCCATCCACGGGTATAAGCTATGAAACTATTAACTCATCTTGTGAAACTGACCAGATATCAGTGTTGCCAGCTCTCCTGCTCTGATTACAAGGCTCCTAGTCATTGGGTCTATTTTTTCTGGAAAGCCCCACCCACATTATTAGAATTAAGTCAGATCTGGGAATGTTGCTACCTCATGCACCACTATCAACTGTGATTGCTCTAAGTAGGTTATGCTTGTTTGTTGGTATAGGGTATTAGAAGAGAATCCCAGCCACCTTTTTAATCTATTTTTCTTAATCAGCAATTGGTACTTACCACAAGCAACCTTAGCATCTGGATCAACCCTGATATGTGCATCAAGAACAGCATCACTGATCTGATCACACATTTTATCTAGACAAAAAAGGTAATATCATTTAGTTGTTTCCCACAATAAACATTTTTAAAACATAATACAAACAATCTCCAGAAGTATGCCATAAATTGCCTAGGGAGACTGTGGAATCTCCATCACTGGAGATATTTAAGAGCAGGTTAGACAGACATCTATCAGGGATGGTCTATGGTGCTTGGTCCTGCCTTGATGACCTCTTGAGGTCCCTTCCAGTTGTAGTGTTCTATGCCATTTCCCAAGAACATCAGATAGGCACTAGAGGAAAGGAGTTGCATAGAATTCCCTTTCCATTGAAAATAAGAGTTCTGTTTTTAAGTACCTGCCTAGATGTGAATTTGTCAACTAAAAATACAGGAATTGATCCATGCTTTTATTCCCCCCCCCTCCCCCCACTCTGGTCCACAGCAGCAGACACAATCCTGCCATTTTCAAGTACACCAGGCCTCCCAAGTAACGAGTCACCAGGAGGGGAAACTGCCTTCTGTTAAAATGGTCTGAAGACTTAGTTTCAGGGAAGAGCAACTTGCAGAACTTCCTAATACCCGAAAAAGGTAAAAATGTATTGAAACAAATAGTAGTTAAACTTTGGGGGGGCGAGGACTTTTTTTTTTTTTTTTACTTTGTACAGCATTTAGTACTCTAGCAGACTCAATGCTGAATGGAGGTTCTAGGCATTATCACTTACAAATTACCAAGACAAAAGGGTGAGCTATAAGTAGATCAGAACTAGAGGCAAATGTTAAATAAAAATACACTAGATTAGTTATAAAAATGTAATTTAATAGAGCAGCACAGATTAGATCCAAAAGTCTGTCCTGTGTGTCAGCAGAGACCTGATCTAATTAAGTTTATGGAAAATTTTATTTTCAAACTTCCATTTAATGTGAAAAACAATCTCTCAGATCTCTAAGGCAAGCAAACACAGAATAAAAAGAGAAGATAAACAGGCTGTGCTGTGATTACAGGGGCTGAAGTAAGCAGGACTTACTATTCATAAGATAAAATTATTTTTCCCCCTCTCTCTATCTTCAAACAGGGAAGGGATTTAAGGAAATTAATTTTAACCAGATGTCTTATGTGCCTTTAATATTTGGAGCAAAAGTAACAATTATGCTCAGCAACAGTACTTTTTCCTGGGACAGTAAAGCAGTGACTTAATATTCAGAGCATGAGCCTAACCTGAACCAGGAACTTCAAGTCAGGACACATGTGGACAAAGTATATATTTGTGCTGTAAAAGTCTCAATTTGACCTTTTAATGTTAACCTCTGGCTTTACTTGAATTACTAGAAACACAGGGCCAGAATTTTTAAAAGCATTTTGGTACCTATACATACAGACAGATATGTAGCAAGGTTTCTTCAGAGCACCTAGTAACCCAATGCCTGTAGATGCTTCTGAAAAATATCTAAATATCTTTAAACATCTTAAATGCTTACCGCCTTTACCCACACTCTCACGTTCAAGTTAAGGATAGATTAAAACTAAAAGGAAAAGCACCAAGAATGTGTGTGCCACATAAGTATAGTGAAATTTTGGTGTACAACTTACGCCAGCACCCACGGACTTGTCAGATTGGTACTTAGGATACGAGTACATTTCAATTCGGTGAACAATAGTTCTGTGGTTGAGTGTTTACATTCTGTAGCTGCAACAGCAAAGTGAATTTCAGTGGCACTCACTGTGTTTTGATTTTTTCCATGTTTGCTTTCTATGAATGCTCTTGTGCTAACACTTTCACAATGAAAATACTTCAGACAAGTGAGTGTGACTATTGTTCAAAGGCTAATCCTTTGATAGTTATAAAACGTGCAGTTAGCTATTTCCTGCGGGGAAGTGCATTCACATGGACTTTTGCGCCTAGAGCCTTATTCAGACTCCATGCTAGTGTAATTACTTGCAGGATCAGAACCTTTGTCAGTTACATAAGTGAGGGTCAGCTGGAGGGCAAGAGATAAGTTAATGAATAGATGACTTGAGTCTGAAAATGTTACTTGACATCAATATGGGAAGAGAGAAAGCAGACAGTAGAGAGCAGTTCTTTGTGGCTTTCTCCCACTAGAAGCCCCCTAACACACGTGCTTCTGTAGCTGGTCCCCCCACTTGCATGTACTGCACACTAAAAGCAGTACCTGACGTATAAAGATGTCAACTCTCCAATGGTTTCCAAGACTTCCTTCTCCGCTCTGGCCTGCACTATTCTTTAAATCCAGCTCCCATCCTATCCCACGATACCCACGCCCACCTGATCCCACATTGTTTCTTGCATTTTTATACTGTTTCCATCATTCAAAATCCTTAGATCCCACAAATCCTACGAGAGAGAGATTCCCTCATGTTATGAAAAAAGGGTCAGTGTGTGTGTAATATATATATATATATATAAAAATTTCAGACACAATTTTTATAACAAATCTTGCTTAAACCATATAAAAATACTTTAAGCCGTTATAATAGACATCAAATATCTTTCAAGCCACCACTTAAATGTAAGTATTAAAAATCTTTACCAAAAAAAGAACACTAGTTCTACATTGCTGAAATTTGTGACAGAGATGAGAGGTTTAGTGTTTTCCCACAAATCACCACAGTTCAGTTGCCGTTGGTTTTTTTTTCCCTCCAACCAGTCCCGCCTGTAACAAAGTGCATTTTACCCTGCCTTCCATTCTGTTACAAAAGGCGGCAGACATCGCTCATGGTGTTATCACAGCTTTAGCTTTGAGTTTTCTCAGCTAAGCATTTAAAAACCACAATGCAGTTTTACTGACAGTCTAAGGGACCAAGATTCTTGTTAAAGACTCAGACTTCTTCAGTAAACAATAGCAGCTTCGCTCCCATTATAACGGGCCAAGTTCACTTAACAAGGGTTCTCAATAAATCTCTAGAAAAAAAGCTATGTGGAAAAAAAGCAGCTGAACTTAATAAACAGCAAGGCTGACAACACTTTGTCTTCAGTTGGAGCCCTGCTAAGAGGTTATGGTTAGCCTATATGGCGTAACAGAGTTTCTTAGGGGGATCAGCATGAAACATACAATCAGAGTGTAAGAAATACAGATCCATTGGGCATCACTGCCCATCACCAGTGTGCTGGACAATTGCTAAAAGCATTGCTAAATAGTACAGTGCTGTGACAGTGATATCTACAGGCTACATCCTACAGCCTGTACATTCAGTAACTTCTAGTCTTCTAAGAATACCACACAGAATTTTTTTTTCCTGATAAGTCTTGAAAAGGAGATTCTGTACAAACGTCTACTAATTATACCAAATGCTAAACAGAAAGAAGACAAACTTTTCCCAAATGATAAAGCAATTTGTTGTGAATGACTAAATATCCACCATTGTGGGTTCCTGTTTCTCTCCATTTGGTCAGAAAACCAAACAGATCAAGTTGAAGAACAAGTTCTTCCACGGTGAAAAGTCTCAGAGGGGTCGTAGTCTGGATCTGCGAAAACAACGAGGAATCATGCGGCTCTTTACACACAGCTTATGCCCTAATAAATCTGTTCGCTTCTAAGGCGCCACAGGATTCCTCTATGTTCTTCCATGCATCTAGCTGATAAAAGGCAAGATCCGACAGACATTTTTACTTACCAGAATGTCCTTCTGCAACAGATTCTGAGGTAAAGAGAAATCTCTTTTCTCTTTTTGAAGTGTTGCTCGACATGGTTTATTATCTTTAGAGAGTCTGCGGTGAAGGAAAAACTGCAGCAAACTGGATATCAGAGGAAGTACAGAAAGAAAGCTGGGGGGGAAAAGGTCAACTTATCAACGTAAACTGCTGATGTAACTGTTTCTGTGTGGTCATTAGATAGAAGTTTAATAGATTTAGGTTGCTCCTAGAGGAAGTTACAGAGAATTGCTTCTAACAACACAGTGAGAATTTTCAAAAGCTCTGTTTTGTGCATTTTTCTCTCGCTGACTTCAATGGGAGTTTTAGCAACAACTTCAATGGGAACTTTTACACACCCCTACCTCAACTTTAGGTCCTCTTCTTTCATCAAAAAATGGGCATAAGTGATAGTAAGTGAAACATTTGGAGACTGTAAGGAAGCAGCATGCAGATTTGTCATGTAAGCACAAGGGGGAAACAGTCTTCTGCCTCTGAGCAATATAGTGTCCAAACTCTGTATTTTGCTTGAATGATAAATTTTATAGAATAGTCTGTATTACAAACCCAGTTTTATTCTTTTTCTAATAGCCACCAATGGCAAATGATGCCCTTTTTACCAGTAAAATATGAGAGTCACTGGATGAGTAAGAAATGGCATAATTAAAGGTAACCATATACTAGGTTATTTTGGGGTCACGGGGAAAGCCAATTGGCTGGGTATCAGCAATCCCTCAACAATGGAATTAAAAGCTAAGGGTATGTCTACACTACCCCGCTAGTTCGAACTAGCGGGGGTAATGTAGTCATCCGCAGTTGCAAATGAAGCCCGGGATTTGAATTTCCCGGGCTTCATTTGCATGAAGCCGGCTGGCGCCATTTTTAAATGCCGGCTAGTTCGGACCCCGTGCCGGCCGCGCAGCACGGGGTTCGAACTAGCCGGCATTTAAAAATGGCGCCGGCCGGCTTCATGCAAATGAAGCCCGGGAAATTCAAATCCCGGGCTTCATTTGCAACTGCGGATGACTACATTACCCCCGCTAGTTCGAACTAGCGGGGTAGTGTAGACATACCCTAAGCCCTGCCTCAGATGTTCTTAAACTTGCTGATGTTTAGGCCACATCTGAAGAGGTATCTTGTGCACCATTTCCTCTTTTATTCTGAGACCATCACCTTCCTTCCTGTTTGCAACCCTACGATACTCCATAGCAATTTCTGCAATTGTGTACATAGAAAAATATGACTCGGCAAGCATGGCATTAAAGATAATTAAGGCGGTGGAGTAAGATCAGGTCTTTCTGAAACTGTGATTGTAGTTTGGCTAACTTCATTACGTGTGTTACAGTAGAGCTTCAGACCGCAACCAGGGATCAAGGCCCCCTTATGCTAGATGCTTTACACATGGAATCAGAATGAGCCCCTTCCCAAAGAGTGCAGAGATAACACTTCCAAGAGTCACTAGAGATTTTGGGGTCCCCAATTTGGGGTGCTCTACCAGAGACACTTCAAAGGGACCTATTTCAGAGAGCTGCTCACTTCCTGAAACACAAACCTCAGAGGTGACACAAGCAGAGCTGTCAAAAAGCAGGGCACCAAAAATTACTCATCCCTTGGGACAATCTTGGCATACATAGTTGCAGGTATCAGGTGGGTACACACAAAAAAGGAAAGACAAACAGTGAAATGATTGCCACTTAGCACACTAAGCAATCACAGCATGTCTGTTGTCTAATCATTGTCATACATTTCATATACATTGCTGCAGAGGAATTTTCACCTCCCCTCCCCATCAGGTCTGTCTCAGGCTAGGTCCTCAGTGCAGAGTTAATGCTGGTTAACTCCAGTGCAATTCATTCCTCAAGCTAGCCTACCTCAGGTGAGAGCAGAACAACACTTGAGGCACACAGAGTGATCAGATGAGTGACTCACAAGCTGTGCTAACTCAAGCTATAGCCGAAACCTCCTGATGGGACAGCCAATCCAAGTTAAAGTACTGCCACACTCAACACTTGTTATAACTCAGTTTAGCTCTGCAGTGAAAACAAGCCTTCTGTTATAACTGTAAGCCACATCCATGTGAGCAATCAGCTCTTCACAGACCACCAAGAAGTAGCACAAAGGCCACCAGTGTCAATTTGGTAATGGTTGCTCGTCTCATCTGAAGGAGCCTGGTGCTTAGATGTTGGGCAACGTTGGTAGAGCAGTGATTGCTCCCAAGGGTATGTGAGCTAGAGCAATAGAAGGACTTTAAACCAACATCCATTAATTTTATAGTGCATTTCTGAAAATTATTAACTCCTTTAATGTACTGCTTTTCTGTATTTTAAAAGGTTTGTTATTACAAAGTACAAGTAAGAGTAGGAAGGCAATGATGCAAACTAAAAAATACCCCCGGCGCGATTCTGTGAAAAGTTAGTTCTTTTGTGGTTTATTTTCATCTTTTACTAAGTATGAACAGACACATTAATGTTCCTCTGCACAGAACTCAGAGATATCACCAGGAGTTTTGAGCGTGAAAGGAATAAAAGCTTGGTATTCAGAGAAGCTGAAAAATTCAAGAGGGTACAGAAAACCCACAAAAACGTTTTCCGCACTGGAGAAAATGCCTTGTAGAGACAGAAGGTATGTCTATGCTACAACTAAACAACCTCAGCTGGCCCGTGTCGCATGACTCAGACTTGTGCTGAAGGGTTGTTTTTGTGGTGTACTGTAGACATTTGGGCTTCAGCTCTGGGATACTCCCACCTATGGGCAGGAATATAGTCCGAGCCCAAATATCTAAAAGCAATTAAATTTAGCGGAGTTAGCTGGAAAGGGCCAACCGTAGGTCTTTAATTACAATGTAGACATATCTTTGAAAAGCTCAATCCTACCATAAACTTGATTTAATTACAAGGCATAAATATGGTCACTGGGAGAAAATTCTGGTATTAAAGGCTCTAATCTAGTGGAAAAAGGTATCACAAGAACCAGGGTTCAAAGCTGAAGCCAGACAAATTCAGATCAGAAATTAGACACAATTTTTAACAATGAGTGTAATTGACCATTGGAACCAATGGTTTCTTCATTTCTTGACGACTTCAACTCAAGACCAGAAGTCTTTCTGGAAAACACAATCTAGTCAAACACAAGTTATTACACTCAGTACAGAAATAACTGGGTGAAAATTAATGGCTCATGATAGATGAGAGAGAAAATTAGATGAGCTACTAGTCCCTTGCTACCTTAAATGCTATGAATGTGAAATATTTCTTAGCCCAAGATAGTAAGATCTTAGCTCCCATCCAGCAAACACGCACGAATATACACATTAACGGGTAAGAGTGTTTCTATTGTCTAACTCACTTAAGTTACTTACATGCAGGTCCATAGCCAACCAACCCAAAGGTGGAGAAATACAGGAAACTTTGAAGATACCAAAAAAGACATGGAGTCCTTGCTCAGAAAGTTTTGAAAGCTGATAGTAACCTGGATTTACAATTAAGACATTTTGGCTTATCACTGAGCATTTTAACACAATAAGATTTGGTAAATACCAGACACATGTTAAAGGCTCCATGCCAATTTCCTCTCTCCAATTTGGATGACTTTGGCCTATCATCCCTGTTCCTTTCCCCTCCCTTTGATTGATTATCACTCACCCCATTGGCTTACTTGGGTCTCTCCCCACCCTGTTTTCTCCTCTGAGAATCTTTACAGTTTTTCCAGACTCTGTCCCTCTCCTTCTTCCCTACTCTGAGCTGAGCTGAGCTGATGTCTCTACACTTCTTTATAATGAGGCCTCTTAATTCTCATAGGATGCTTCTTTCATCCAACGCAGTCTCTCACAACCCTAAGCATACCATAGAGCTCTCTGCTAGGCTGGAGACACAACTGAGGTCTGTACAGCCAACAGGTTACAGAAAGCTAGCCATGTTAGTCTGTTTCAGCAAAAACAACAAGGAGTCCAGTGGTATTTTAAAGACTAACAAATATATTAGGGTATTAGAGCATAAGCTTTCATTAGCTACAACTCACTTCCTCAGGCCACGTCGACATTTTGGGGAAGAGCAACGTTGCTGCTAAATCAAACTGAGAGGGCGTTCCCTGCTTCTGTGTAGGAAACCTCTCCTGCACATCATCCAGGGGCGGCCCGGGAGCCTAGGCAAGGTAGGCAGCTGCCTAGGGCGCTGCTGGCCCGGGCGCCCGATGATGACGTCACGGCCATTGATGGCCGTGCAGGCAGGGGCGCTGATTGCACTGCCCCACCTATGGCCCAGCTGCTGCAGCCGGCCTTGGGCCGCTCCTGTGCACATCATCAGGGATCTACAACCTCTCAAAGATGATGATAAAGATGGCTTGAATAGATGGTTCACTTATAAAAATCCTACTCAAGCACACCATAGCAACCTGTGTAATTATATTACTAGGATTAGAGCAACACCAAACACCCCCAGTGAGGGCTGGCCTCTCCTGCACACCATACCAAGCAGGAAATACAGTCTCTGCACTGAAATGACATTCTAATTTAAAACAAAGACGCAAGAAGGAGAACAATGCGAGGAAGTATAAAAGCTCACTATTCACTAGGCTAGTTATGTGCGTGATTTCTTACTCATGGCATAACTTAATGTTAAGAAACTACTAGTGAATTGCAGAGCTCCCTGGGAGACCCTCTGTCAAGGTAAGCGTCTCAGTTTCATCTTGTTTCATCCTGGCCTTAGGCCTGTAAGCCTCTGGACACTGCCCAGCCCTGAATCCTTTCCCAGCCCTCTTCCCTAGAGGGCTGAAGAAACTCCCAAGCACACTGCTCCCCCAGCCGTCTCTCTGTTCTAGGCAACAGGCAGCACTTACAACCTGTCCCCCCTCTGCTTGCTCTGTCTTGTGATTTCTAGGAACTTGAGCTCTCAGTAGCTCTGCTCCTAAAGGGTCAAATCTTGTAGCAAGGTTGTGAGGACCTAGGACTGCCCTTAAAGGGTCTGTAAACCATAGGACTATTAACCTAACCATGATGCATCTATTCAGTGGTTTGAATTCTTGAATTGTAAAGACTTATACCATGCTTCATACGCTCAGAGGCTATGCTTTCCAACCTCTTCCTCTATAGGAATATCAGCAGTACACATCTAACTGCAGAATTCCTTTTGACTTCCTTACTTCAGATAACTTGAGATGGTGTGGAAAACAGATGAAGACAGCTGCTCCCTAGTCATACA